TCAAGTGTGGCAGCGGTAGTGAGGTTGGCCCAGGATCGGACATTGTTTCGTTCTGCTGTGCATGGGGTCGCTATGAGTCGGTTCCAACTCGATGGCACTTGACAACAACAACAACAATCCCACATCATGTCACTCACATTCCTTTGGTTATTTATCACATAGTCAGATGACCATACCTAACTTAAAGGAGACTGGGAAGTATAGTTGAGTTGTAGGCCCCCAAAAAGGAAATGAATTTTGACCAGTGTCCAAATACCACCAATACACTCTTAAAAAGGACTGCAGCCATGTATTAGTAGAATGAGAGACAAAACAGAGTATAAATGGGGCAATAAAAGGAAAACGCTACCATCTGAGACGCCTGTAGCAGCCTCTGCGTGTATGTGTGTGTTTATGTGTATGTGTGTCAGAAAACAAGCTGATCACTTTTTTTTTTTTAAAAAAAACAGTGGTTCTCAACCAGGGACAGTTTTATCCCTAGAATACAATAGGCAGTGTCAGCACATTTTTGGTTTCACAAGTGGTGGAAGGGGTACTACTGGCATCTAGTGTATATGCCAGAAATGCTACTAAACATTTTACAATGCACAGGACAAAGATTTGTGTGCTCTACAGTCAGTAATGACAGGTAGAAAAACCCTGCTTGGAAGGAAAAAGAAAAACAAAAATAAAAAAGTAATTAGCATACAAGAAAGAATATTTTATGAAAGTACTAACATTATCTTCTTACTGTCTGACCAAATATAAAATAATACTTAAAGACAGTTGCGTATATTTCAGGACAGAGTCCCCATGTGAAATCAAATCTACTCTTAGGAAGCATTCGGAGCCTGTGGCGGGCAGTGACTGGTCCTCTGTTTGATTTCCAAGGAGACCCAGCTCAGCAAGGAGGAACCCTCATTTTAGGTCCAGGTAAGCATCACAGAATGGATTTCTGGTGTGGCCTTATAGGATAAGCACCAGACTGAGAATCACAAGGTCAGTGGTTCACATCTACCAGCTGCTTTTAGGAAACCCTGTACAGGATTACTATTAGTTGGAATTGACTCGATGGCACTTAGCATCAATAACAAAGCAGCAAAGATTCAGGAACATGTTTTCTGTGCCCTTTAGAAGTTCATATTATTCTCTCTCTTCATTAAACAGAGGGGAGCTTTATTTTTAAATTATACAGATTATTGTATTTTCATAGACCACTCCCCTGCCTCCCCAAAGACTTGTGATGTCTGTTTGGTTCATATACTGTGCACATCATTCCGTTCTTGATTGATTTCAGGTACTTAGGATAGGGAAAGTCAAATGTCTAGGAGTCTTTATGCATCACAATGGTTATACATTCAATTACTAGCCAAATAGTTTGAACCCACCTAGAGGTGCCTCAGAAGATTAGTCTGGTAATCCGTCTTTGAAAGGTCACAATAAAGCAGCTTTATCATGGCACTGTAGAATGAGCACTGGGCTGCAAGTTTGGTTTGAACTGCAAGGTCAGCGGTTCAAATCCACCAGCCACTCCTTGGAAACCCTATGCAGGGTCTCTGTGAGTTGGAACCAACTCGTAACTTACTCCGTAGCACTTAAAAACAATAACAACTTTATATATATGGGGTCATCATGAATCATAATTTACTTGATGGCAACTAACAATAAAGCAATAAGACTTTTTTGGAAGTGGAAGCTATAGCAATGAAAGCAGCAAACAAAATGGAAATATTGAGAACCCTGCATTGTGAAAATTGTAACCAGTGTCTGAACAACTTGTATAAAACTTGTTAAATGAGGACCTAACTTGTGATGTAAAGTTTAACCTAAAATATAATATTTAAAAAATAAAAACAAACAATTCACTGGAAGTGAGCATTTCAGAATAGGGGAGAATCATCAACCACTTTTTGTTTGTTTGTTTATGGAAGAAGCAGGCTTGTTATTTATACCTAATAAAACTATGAGACTTGCTCAGTGCTTAAAAGCAAGTTATTTTCAGGGACCAGAAACAGGACCCAACATTTAATTCTATAAGGATGGGTATAAAACATATACTGCTTTTTTTCCCCCCTTAACTTTTTCCTTATTTTTATTGTAATTGCACTTGTTGATAAAATAACAACAATAACAACTAAATACCCAGTAACGTGCATCAGTTTGGATTACCTAAAATCCTTTGGCTTCTCTCTACTAATAGTGTTGAGTGCTATATCTCGACCATGTTCAAATATTACATTAAGGACAAACCACCATATGTGACAATACCAATAAACCTATCACCATGTTGTAAGCTGACTTTTCATGGTTTTTCTTCCTCATTGAAATTGTCCACTTAGGGAGTATAGCTTCTAAGAGTTACAACAATTACTTTGATAAATTCCAAGAAGGCCTGGTGGCACTGTAGGATAATCACTAGACTGCTAACCTAAAGGTCAGCAGTTCAAACCTACCAGCCACTCAGTGGGAGAAAGTTGAAGCTTTCTGTTCCCATGAAGATTTATAGCCTTAAAAAACCTATGCGTGGTCATTATGAGCCCTGATCAACACGATAGCAGTGTGTTTGATTTTCTTTGATTTTGATAAATTCCAGATGTCTAAAGGAAAGTTTTTAGGAGAATTTTTACCAAGTATTATGACATTTTGCCTTTTTGCAGTTAGAGAGCACTGTAACTAAATCTGTCATTTTACTTAATCTCCCTTAATCTCCTCACCAATTTGCACCAGTTAACTGAGAGAGAAGCCCTGTATTATGAAAATTGTTGTTAAGTGCCATGGAGTCGGTTTCCACTCACAGTGACCTTGTATAGGATTTCCTTGAGGTTAGCAGTCTAGTGGTTATCTTACAGTGCTGCACCGGAACTCCATGTAAACTAGCCCAGAGTAGAATTGAGCTGTATTTTAGAATGTCGTATTTCCATCCTCAGAACTGGAAAACAAAAGTGTTTTTTGAGTTTCTCGTCTCTGTATCTGATCATTTGGCCATACCTCAGTATGTAAAAAATGAAGAGTGCCAAGAGAACTTCACTTGTGTGCAGTTTGAACAAATGGAATACAGAGCATATTTCGATGGAAAAATGTAACTCTTCTAAGGAGGAGATCATAGTATACTTACTTACACAAATCTCTTACCAGGGCTAAACTAGGATTTGGTTTTGCTTATTTGGTGATAAACCAATTTATGAGATTAAACCACATGATTATTGAAGACTACAGATAAGCACAATGCAAAAAACATGCCTTATGATACTAAATCAAAATTTTTAGGTTAATATTCTAGTGTTGAGTATAAGAACTAAAGTAAATAGAACCTGGACTACAAATAATAACTAATTTGAGCAGATGAAAGAAATCTACTGTTCTTTTAAGGGTACTGTAATTGATTATGTTACTATCTTATTGCTTGCCTCTTTTGAGCTATGGTTGTAATAGAAATAGCCTAGTAAGTCAGTATTTAGGAGTGGGTTTTTAACTGAGTTGTATGTATCTCATTATTACATTTAAGAAGATGTGATTTTCCTTGATTTCTATGTTAGTTCCTAATTCTGTCTATCTGACAGGACATTTGCTTTAATTACATTTAATAAAATCTGACAGACGGTTATAATTTAAGAATCATTCCCCTTGCACCTCATAAAACATTAAGTATCACTCTCTTTTAACCATAATCCTTGTCATGCTTTATTATCATAATTAAAAGTTATTAGGGCATTATATTGAGAATATAATGTACTCCAGATTAAGTTTTCCTTTTGAACTAATTGAAAGTTGAAAAACTTTCTTGGTTCTAGTAAGCAATGAATCTAATGGATAGTGCTTCACATGCCAACCACAACCTTTGATTCTTACTCTCTTCCAGGTAACGACATCCATTTTATACACTGTGACAGAAATAGATACGATCATAAACCCATCAACTCTGTTTTACAGCTGGTAGGAGTTCAGCTTGTCAACTTTACCAGTAGACCTTCAGTTATCCACGTGTGACTTAATACACAATCAGTAGCTTCTAAACAGCACCTTGGGATATGGCCTTAAATGTTGGGGGTCTGGTATCCTTCTGAAATGTCTAACTTGTTGACTCTCGTAGTCTCTGAGCAGTTATAAAAACATATAAGAGATAACGTACCAGTTGAATTGCATGCTGAAAGACATCTGTTGTCAAAATGAACTTTCATATAAAAAGTTTAAAGTTATCAATACCATTCTTAATTTTTTAAATATATATTCATTCAATGAGAGATTTCTTCTTTGGCCTTTAAGATTATAAATTCTTAGAAAGATAATATGGGGCAAGGGGAAGCAATTCAAGACCACTTTATTCAGTGAAAGAAAGCAAAATGTCAAATTGTGTAAATAATACCCAATTTTTTATATGTACGTGTTTATACATACAAGCTTAAAAAAAGGATAAGAAATAAACACACCAGAATATTGACAGTAAGAATCTAGTGGTAGGATACTAGGTGTTTTACTTTCTTTTCCCCATATTTTTCTATGTTTTCTAACTATTCTGTTTTCTAAGCATGACAAATTTAGGGAGGCTGGTGGAGAGCAGATCTTTAAAATTTATGTTGTTGTTAAGTGCCATCAAGTCGATTCCGACCCATAGTGACCCTGTATAGGGTTTCCGAGGAGCAGCTGGTGAGCTTGAACCGCCGACCTTGCAGTTCAAGTGGCTTTGCAGTCTGGCGCATTAACCCACAGCACCAAGGATATATTCCTAATTCCACAAAGGTGTAAATTCAATAGCCTGCAGTCAACATGTTTTCACCCTATTTGCTTAACCTGGAGAAAACATGGCAACCAAACTCCTTCAGCTAGCCCGTTTTCAGACCATCTTGTCAGCACACAACCACTTTCACTTTCACTAGGATTTTTGCTTTGTGTTGTTTTGATAAAAGGAGGAAAGTGTTCATTTCATATATTTTAAGACATGTGTCTAAAAATACAGACTTTTGTGGCACCACTCAACGGCACTTAAACAACAACAATCTAAAAATATGGTCATGAGACCTCTCTCAGGAATATGACCTTAAATATTGCCGGGTCTAGCATCCTTGTGCAATATCTAACTTCTGACTCTGCTAGCTTCTGAAGAGTTATAAAAACCTATAAAGAGTTGAAAATATAGTCAGTATGAATTAGGGAAAGGACTTTATTTTTTTTTTTTAATGAAACAACTTATTAATGTAATTTGTGGTTTGGTTATATATTCCTAGGTAACTGTTATGTGTCATCTCCAAATTGTTTTGAACCACAAAGCCAGTGGTTCAAACTCACCAGCCGTTCCTCAGAAACCCTATACAGTGTTGCTGGGGGTCATAATCAATCAATGGCACTTAACAACAATAACAATGGATGACTGTTGAGGATCCCTCATGACACAATGGGTTAAGCATTGAGCTGTTAGAAAACCCCAGCTACTCCAAAGGAGAAAGATGAGGCAGTCGCCTTCTGTAAAAATTGACACCTTGGAAACTGGAACAGTTCTACTCTGTCCTATGTGGTCACTGTATGTTGGAATGCACTCAGTGACAGTGGGTAGAGTACTGCTGCCATGTTTTATTTTTACAGAATCTTAATTTGTTTTAACGTGTTCTAGAATTCCAGTGGAAAGTACAGGCAAAATAAAAATATTAGTAATTATTAACAAGTATTAAAGGACTTTGCACTTAAAATGCTTTTATATAAAGCTAATGCATTCACACAAACACGCAAACAATATGTATGTGTATGTAGATAGATAACAATATATCCAGATATTTTAATGTATTTTCATGTATATGTGCACAGAAAAACATGTTTTTAATTAATAAAAATGAAATTTCTCATATTAAGCTATAGTGTTCTTTTTTATATAGTTAAAAAAAGACTGATAACCTAGATTCCTCTGCTGATTTTAG